CAAATTTCTGTATACCCCTGCAAAACCAATTCCTGCTCGTCGTGGGAAATTTGTGAAATAGAGTAACAATACAAAAAAGGCAAAAAATATAATTCAAAAAGCATTTCCCTGGCATTATCTTGCCTTTCAGTTGTACTCGCTTGGTATCATTTTCATCTCATATCTATGTAGTTATGCGTCCTGGAGCAAGCTGCTCCACTCACTGTAATCAGCCCAACATTCTGGGAGGCCAGAGTGGCCGCGTCACTTTGAGCCCCAGGAGTTTGAGACCAGCATGGGTGACATAGTGAGACCCCTGGTCCTCTACACAAAAATACAAACCAAGATAACCAGGGCTAGGTGCTGCACACCCTGTAGTGCCCAGCTACCGGAGGCTGAGTGGCGAGGATCACTTGAGCGCCTGGAGGCGAAGGCTGCAGTGAGCCTTGATCATGCCACTACACTCCAGCCTGGGTGACAGAGAGAGCCTCCTGTCTCAATTTCTCTCAAACAAAAAAAAAAAAAAAAAAGAAAAAGAAAAAAAAAAAAACATATACTACGAACTATGAGAGCCTGTTTCATCAATTCGGCACTTAATATAATAGATAAAATAGAATATATGTCATAAGTCTATCGATCTATACCTTAGTACCGAGTATTAATATGTATCAGAGATTTTGGACATTTCCAGTTTTAGTCATCATGTTAGCTGGCTTGTCATTGATACAGCCTCACATACACACAACCCCCAACACTCATGACTTCAAGAGCTCTTTCACTCTTTGCTTCACGTGCTTGTGGGTAAGACTGGGTGTTGCAACTTTGGCCTGATCGATCTAGGCTGGGCTTGGCTCCAAGTTGTTGGCTGAGTGTAGGTCTGCTCTCAGGTCTTTTGTCCTCCTGGGACCAGCTGGCCGTCTGGAGGATAGTTTCATGGTGACAGCAGAAGCTCAGAGGGCAAACTCTACCACACAATGCATTTTAAGCCTCTGCTTGCATCATGTAGGTTCCCATGCCATTGGTCCAAACTAGTTACATGGCCTAGCAAGGGGTGAGGAGGTACGCTGTGCTTCCCTAATGGGAAGATTTGCAAATTCACATGGCCAACGGTGTGGATACAAAGAGGGGTAATGAATTTAGAACAATAGTGACATCTACCACAACTATTAAATATTCCTTGAAAACATGATTTTTATTTATTTATTTATTTATTTATTTATTTATTTTGAGACAGAGTCTCTCTCTCTTGCCCAGGCTGGAGTGCAGTGGCATGATCACAGCTCACTGCAGCCTCAAATTCCCCAGGCTCAGGTGAGCCTCCCACTTCAGCCTCCTGAGTAGCTGGCACTGCAGGTGTGTGCCACCACACCCTGCTAATTTTTGTATTTTTTTGTAGAGAGGCAGTATTTCCATGTTGCCCAGACCTGGCTCGAACTCCTGGGCTCAAATGACCTTCACACCTCAGCCTCCCAAAGTACTGGGGTTACAGGTGTGAGCCACCTTGCCTCAGTGAAAACACGATTTTTAATCACTGCACTATTTTCCTCCTTGTGGATGTATTCTAATATATTTAACCATTTTGCTATTAGCGGACATTTTTGATGCCCATATCTTTCCTACTATAAGACACAATCACTACTGCTGTGTATATGCTTTTGAATGCATCTTAGATTACTTTAGATTACATTTATGAGTTAAGTTCTTGAGATAATATTGCCCTTCAGCAGTGTGCGAAAGTGTTCATCTTGCTGTGTCATTGTCAGCATTATGCACTGTGATTTTTTTGGTTTGTTTTGGTTTGGTTTTTTGGTTTGTTTCTTTAAAGACAAGAGGATGGGGGATAAAAAAGACCAGGGGGAGGAATCTAGCAGAGCTGGGGCAGGCCGGAGAAGGGAGAAAGAAGGAAGGTGTGGAGAAAATGTGGAAGGAGGAGTTTGCCTGAGAAGACTTCAAGCCAGGGTGGTTAAGATGGACCTGGGGAATACATTCTCTAGAACCTGGCCCATCCTGCAGAGCCAGAGCTCGACCCAGGGCTGCTGTTGCATTTTTATACCTGGTGCTCCCTGAAGCAGCAGTGTACTTCCCTTTCAAGACTTTTTTTTTTTTTTTTCTGTGAGACAGTTTCGCTCTTATTGCCCAGGCTGGAGTGCTGTGGTGTGATCTTGGCTCACTGCAACCTCCGCCTCCCGGGTTCAAGCAATTCTCCTGCCTCAGCCTCCCAAGTAGCTGGGATTACAGACACCCATCACCATGCTCGGCTAATTTTTGTGTTTTTAGTAGAGACGGGGTTTCGCCACGTTGGCCAGGCTAGTCTCGAACTCCTGACCTCAGGTGATCCGCTCACCTTGGCCTCCCGAAGTGCTGGGATTACAGGCTTGAGCCCCCGCACCCAGCCCTTTCAATACTTCTTTATCCAGCTGAGATTTTCTGCTCTGAGACATATCTCCTCAGCAGTGATGTTTTCATTACTGCTGAGGCCAAATAATCTGCTCAAGAGGAGAGGTTTGGATCCGGCCATTCTCTCGAGAGCTCAGTCCTTCCACAGGGAAAGGGGTCTGATTCTAGTTGCCCAGGAGATCTTGCAGGTCCAAGCCCAGTGGTCGTTCCAGGAAGTGAATCGCACCTTCTGCTCTTTGATTTCCTGCAGAAACTCGCCTCTTCGGTGTGCCCCTTGACAGCCTGCTAGAAGCTGACCACAAAGTCCTCCCCAGCACACAGGTCCCACTGGTCCTTCAGGCCGTAAGTCGTCCGCAGCTTGGGTTTATGTAATCCTTCGGAGGCTGGCTCTGGGGACCATTGTCAGGAGACATCTAGCAAAGGGGTGAAAGGATGGGCTTTAGAATCAGGCAGACGTGGGTTCAAATTCTGGCTCTGGCATTCGCTAGCTCAGAGACCCGGGTGGATTTTTGTTGTTGTTGTTGTTTTTATTTTATAAATTTTTGTCTTAACTTTTTTGTAGAGACAGGGTCTCACTATGTTGCCCACGCTGGTCTCGAACTCCTGGCCTCAAGTGATCCTTGGGGTGGATTTTTTTTTTTCTTTTCTTTTTAACTTCTGAATCTTCAAGTCAAGGGTGGATTTTTGAACTTTCATTAGCCTCCCTTTCAACATCTGTAAATTGGGATGATGATAACAGTATCCTCCTCTTATCAATGATTAAATGAGAAAAATCTGTATGAAGCTCTCACAATGCCTGGCTCATGGAGGTGGTCACAAAAACTATTATTATTTTGAAGGAAACCCTTCTCCGGGTACTCCCCTCTTTCTGATTTTCATGGGAGACAAACACACCATTTTGAATCCTGCTTTTCAGCTTTTCCTAGTTTAAGTGCTGGTTTCTCTCTCTGACAGCTGCTGTCCTGTTTGGAAAAGAGAGGACTGGACACAGAAGGCATTCTCAGGGTGCCCGGATCCCAGGCTAGGGTCAAGGTAATGGTTTGGCTTCCCCCGCTTCACTGAGGCTGCATCTCCCCCATCCTCACATGTGTGTTAAGCCAGGAGAGAATCCAGTCCCTGGCTCGCCGGTGATCTGTCTTTGGTCTCTGTGTGGGTTGAGGGTTTGAGAGGCTGAAGGTGGCATGATGAGCATGGTGGCGGAGAGCGTGGGCCCTGGAGTCAGACCACCAACGCTTAATGAGCAGAGCCCTGTGCTCAGTGACACGCACTTTAGGCCATTTCGTCCTCACTTCAACCCCACAAGGGAGGTGCTCTTGTTGTCCCCACTTTGCAGATGAGGCAACTGAGCCCCAGGGAAGTGGTAGAGCAGCTTCTACCGGAGCCCTGGGCCAACTGTGTTTTCATACCCTCCTTCCTGTAGGGGCTGGAACAGAAGCTGGAGAGAGACTTCTATGCTGGCCTTTTTAGCTGGGACGAGGTTCATCACAATGACGCCTCCGATTTGCTCAAAAGGTTCATCCGGAAGCTGCCGACACCTTTGCTCACGGCTGAGTACCTCCCGGCCTTCGCTGTGGTGCCCAGTGAGTGTGCCCAAGCCCTTAGCCTGTGCAAGGATGGAGAGTTGGATGTCACTGGCCTTGGTTGGAGAGGGAAGCCATGCAAAGGCAGGACTGCCTGTTCCTGGAAATGTCTGTTGCAGAAATGTCCAACCAATGAGGGAAGAAGCAAGTGTGAGCATGTGAGCCCAATATGTGTGTATACGCATGTGCACGCGTGTCCTGTGTGTGTTGTATGGCATGTGTGCATGTGCAAGTGTGTGAGGAGAGGAGGCTAAAGTTTTGCACACTACAGTCCCTATTAGTTCTCACGTGGACGAGTGGACTGGTTTCCTTCACATCTTGACATCCATGGGGTTGAGCTTATCAGCATTGTCTACCCGTGTATCTGTGGACACACGTGTGTGCACTTCCATCTGTGTGCACGTCTACAGATCGCGTCCATCTGTGTGTGCATCTGCAGATGGCGTCCATCTGTGTGTGCGTCTGCAGATGGCGTCCATCTGTGTGTGCGTCTGCAGATCGCGTCCATCTGTGTGTGCGCGTCTGCAGATCGCGTCCATCTGTGTGGGCGTCTGCAGATCGCGTCCATCTGTGTGTGTGCGTCTGCAGATTGCGTCCATCCGTGTCCATCTGTGTGTGTGCGTCTGCAGATCATGTCCATCTGTGTCCATCTGTGGGCACGTCTGCAGATCATGTCCATCTGTGTGCGCGTCTGCAGATCACGTCCATCTGTGTCCATCTGTGCGCGCATCTGCAGATCAGCATGTATTGCACGGACCTTGCTCTATGTATAGTCTGCATATATATGTTCCTGTCTGGACCAAACATAGTCACTTCTATTTTTCTCAGAAAAATAGAGCAGCTCTCCTGAGATCTCATTCATGACCATGAGGTTCTCCCTGTCTCTCTGAATTCTCCAAAAAGCTTCAAGGCTCAGGTAGTCTGATTTCCACCCCCAAGCTAGGGAAGGGGACAGGGACCCTGAGAAGTCTTCTCTGACCTTTGATTCTCACAACCTCAGTGTTTTGTTTGTTTTCTTTTTTCTTCTTCTTTTCTTTTCTTTTTTTTTTTTTTTTAAGAGACGGGGTCTTGCTCTGTCACCCAGGCTGGAGTGCAGTGGCATGATCCTAGCTCACTGCAACCTTGAACTCTTGGGTTGAAGTGATTCTCCTGCCTCAGCCTCCCAAGTAGCTAAGAATATAGGCACATGAGACCATGCCTGGCATACTTGTTTAAAATGTTTTTGTAATGACGGAGGTCTCACTATGTTGCCCAGGCTAGTGTCAAACTCGTGGCCTCAAGTGATCCTCCCACTTCAGCCTCCCAAAGTGATGAGATTACAGGCATGAATCATCAGGCCTGGCCTCGACCTCATTGCAAAACATAAATCATATCCCTTCCCTATGCTGTTACCATCCTCTACAGCACCCTTGTAATAAGATTCCACTCCTTACTGGGCCCACCTGCTTCGGCTCAGGTCCTATTTCTGGCCCCCTTTCTTCCTGGCCTCCTCCTTCCCCACTGTCTGGTCAGGCCCTCCCACTTTGCTGTTCCCCCTCCTCTTTCCTTCCCTGGAGCATCTGCACTTGCTGCTGTCTCTGATTGGAACCTCCCTCCGCCCTCATTTGGCTGCTTCCTGCCTTTCAAGTTTCAGCTGGCTGTCAGAGCCTGTGAGGGCCTTCCGTGACCCCACACTCCGTGCTGCCTGCTAGCCTCTATAATGATGCAGTGATGCCCATCATACTCTGATTTATTCTTTGCTTGTGTATTATGTCTCCCCTCTGAAATGTAAGCTCCACAAGCCTGCGACTTTATTTTCCTCCTTCACTATTGTGTCCCAGGTGCCTAGACTGAGCATAGCACCTGACAGGTACTTGATAGGTATTTGTTGATAAGTGAGAGAAGGAAAGAAGGCAGGGAGGGAGGGAGGGAGGAAGGAAGGAAGGAAGAAAAGAAGGAAGGAAGGAAGGAAGGAAGGAAGGAAGGAAGGAAGGAAGGAAGGAAGGAAGGATCGGTCATACGGGGTTGTAGGCCTGGGGCCCCGGGTGCTCAGCCTCTGTGTCTCCTATGCGGCTCTTCTCCAGGTTCCAGGCAGCTCTCAGCTGCTGGGTCTTGTCTGGCTCTGATGAACTCCTTCTTTGAATCTATAACTACTACCTCCTCCTACCTGCCTCCTCTCCCCGGAGATCCTGATACCAGGTGTGAGACAGCTTTTCCTTTTCAACCTTCACAATACAGAGGGTTTCATGAAACCTTCTGTCTGGGCCCAGTGAGCTCTCTGTCTCCCTTCCTAAGGGTGATTTGCTGGTTCATTGCATTTCTGACCCTGGGCTGTAGCCTGGACTGCATATCTGGGTGTGTGCGGCATGTGCGTGCATGCACACGCATGTGTGTGTTTATTTTGCTACACAAAGTATAGCGAGTGAACCGCTCCACCAGCACTGGTCAGGGCTCTGTCTGAGCCAACACTAGACAAGGAAATAGTCCCGCACCTTATGAAAAAAGGGATTCCTGGCTGTTCCCTGGCTTTCCAGCTCTGAAATTTCCCCAAGAAGAGACCAGACTGAGGGAGGGAGTCCCTGAGCCTCCCATGGAGACTGAGGTCCCTCCCTTCCCGCAGACATCCCCGACCTGAAGCAGCGCCTGCAGGTTCTTCACCTGCTCATCCTCATCCTCCCAGAACCCAACAGAAATGCCTTAAAGGTAAGAGTTACCATGCACCACCACCACTTTGCCATGTCAGCCCACACCCACAGTCATGGCTCCAAATGTGCTCATTTATTCATTCATTCAGCAACTTCTGCCAGGTGCTAGGGTTCGGTGACGACCCACACAGACCTCTCTCGAGACTTTTTCCTAAAGACAGTGGATGAGTCCTGAAAGGGGATAGTCCCAGAGTGGGCACTGCAGAGCGTCAGTTCCACGTGGTGCTAACAAGTGTTAGCACCTTGTGGCCAAGCCTGGATAAGTAAACACAAAGTTCATGAAACAAGATTAAGAATATTTTTCTCCCCAGGACTTCTCAAAGCCTTTGGTATGTTGAGGCATTGAGAGGAATCTCCAAGTGGGATTAGAGTATACAGCACTCTAAAAACTCAGTTGATCAGGGACCTCTTTTGTTGTGGAAAGCATTGCACAGCACTGGTGTTCCGTGCTGAATCAGTTTGGGAAAAAACCCTTAGCAAATTCCCCTTGTCATATAGGAGTGGATGCTCAGCCTTCGCCCAGCTCCCTATACCCTCTTGGCTGTCCTTCGGTCAGACTCCAGATGTGCCTCCAGGGTCAGCCTGTGAAGAGGCCCCAGATCTTCCTGTTTGAGTTTCTGCTTCCTTTTCAGTAAAATGAGGATGATAATAGCATTAATAGCATCTTGTCTAATTGTTTTGGAAATCATAAAAGCTAACTCACAAGGAATCATAGGGTAGAAGATGATGCTTTGCAGTGTATTCAATATGTGTCTTCTGTTCCTATCCCCTCTCCCTCCCTCCCTTCCTTTCTTCCTCCCTCCCTCCTTCCCTCCCACCTCCTTTCCATTTTTTCTTCCTTCCTCCACCCATTTATCCTCATTCATCCATCTATTCATCTTCTTTTCTTTATCCATCCGCCCATCCATCCATTCATCCATCAATCCCTCCCTCCCTTCTTCAGTCCCTCCCTTCTTCACTCTGTCCCTTTGTCCTTACTGGCTGTGTGACTCTTGGTGCATTCTCCAAGCTTGTTTCCTTCTCTATAAAACGCATGCAATAATAAGAGCTACCTTGACCAAGCGCAGTGGCTCATGTGTGTAATCCCAGCACTTTGGGAGGCCAAGGCGGGAGGATCATTTGAGGTCAGGAATTTGAGACCAGCCTGGCCAGCACGGTGAATGCCGTCTCTACAAAAAATACAAAAATTAGCTGGGTGTGGTGGTGCACACTTGTAATCCCAGCGACTTGGGAGGCTGAGGTGGGTGTGTCACTTGAACCTGGGAGGCAGAGGTTGCAGGGAGCTGAGCCAAGATCACACCACTGCATTCCAGCCTGGGTGACACAGTGACATTCTGACTCAAAAACAAAAACAAAAACAAAAAACAACAATAAAAAAACTACCTTATAAAGTTGCTGTGAGGATTAAATAAGATGTACCAACTAAAGGCCCAGGAAGACAAAGAATACATGTAAATAGTAGGTCTTATCACCTTCCCCTGCTCTTCCCAGCGTCTCTGCTTCCCTATTCTTTCCTTTGCATTTTGGGTAGATCCAGACTCCAGAAAGAAGCAGCTGTCCCAGGCCTCACCAGGAAATGACCCATGTTCCAGACCTGTGGCCCTTTTCTACCTGGAAGCCGAAGTCTGACCCAGTTGTCTCATTAGTCTCTGAGGGAGCAGGGGGGAAAGTGTTTTGGACACACCGCAGAGCAGGAAGTGGAGACACAGAGAGGCCGCGGAGTGGGCTCGTGGCACAGCTGGAACAGGAGCCCCTCTTGCTGCCCTCCCAGCTCCTGGCTCCTTCCTAGCGCCCCCTTGTCATGCATCAGGATGCCCTGGGGATGGTGGGGAGGCGCCAGGGATGGGCTGAGGTTTGAGGGAGATTCTGCCCCCTTCCCCAGGCGCTGCTGGAATTCCTCAGGAAGGTGGTGGCCCGGGAACAACATAACAAGATGACTCTGTGGAATGTTTCCACCGTGATGGCCCCTAACCTCTTTCTGCACCATGGGCGGCCCCCCAAACTCCCTAAAGGCAAGGAGAAGCAGCTGGCAGAGGGGGCAGCCGAGGTGGTGCAGATAATGGTGCACTACCAGGATCTGCTGTGGACGGTGAGTGCTGCTGGGTGCTGGGTATCCCTCCTCTGGGTGCCGCTGCCCTGCTCTCCAGGAGCCTGGGCATTGTCCTTTCAGTTTCCTAGTGTGTCCCTTCCAGGCCCTTTGTTGGCCTCTGCATAGGACTGTGTTTTCTTCTTCCACCTGCCTTAGTGACCAAGAAGTGTCTTCCCTTTCTGTCGCCGCTGCCACGCCTCTCTGTCAGTCTGCTGCCATCTGGTCTACCCCAGATTGCAGGAGTTCCCCCAACTCCCACAAATAATTCCTTCACATCAAAGCTTTTATACTGCTGAGAAAGCCCCATCCCAGAGGCCCAGGATCACAGGGCCTGCCTAAAACAGAGCCCGGAACCAGATAACAGGGATACTCCTGCCCCCCTGCCCCCACTATGAGCTTTGCCCTGAGTAACAAGTGACAGCAAGGCGAGGAGCCAGAGGAGGAGAGAGGCCCCTCTGCAGGGTCAGCATGGTGCCCGCAGCACTGAGACCCCTCCAGCTCCTGAGACTCTGTGAACACAAGGTAGCACCATCTACCACTGCTGACCAGGCTGCTTTCTCACCCAGAGATGTGTATCCTCTTCCCTCCATCTGTTCATTCATACTTCCATTTAGTCTCCCATCCACCCACCCACTCACCCACCTACCCATCCATCCATCCATCCACTCACTCACCCACCCATCCATTTATGCATCTGCCCATCACCCACCCACTCACCCACCTACCCATCCATCCATCCATCCACTCACTCACCCACCCATCCATTTATGCATCTGCCCATCACCCACCCACTCACCCACCCACCTATCCCCCCACCCATCTACCTACCACCCATCCACCCATTAATTCCTCCAACTCCCCCATCCACCCATCCGCCAATCTATCATCCACTCACCCATCCACCAATCATGCATCTATCCACTCATCTACCAATCCATCCATCCACTCATTCACCCATCCATCCATCCACCCATCTACCCAACCATGCAGCTATCCAACTAAACCATGCATCTATCCAACTATCTACCCATCCATCCACCCACTCATCTACCAACCATGCATCTATCCAACTGTCCACTCATCCATCCAACCACAGTCCTTCCTCCTATCCCTCCCTCCTTCCGTGAAGTCATTAGGTTAGATTTCCTATTCCAGAAACCAGCAAGTGAAGCCCTCTTTGACTGTTCTCAGTTTCTCTCTGACCCTGCTGGGCACTCTTCTGTGTTCTAAACACAGCAAGTGCCAGCTGGCACTCCAAACTCATCTAGTACTTCACACTTCTGAATTTTTGCTTATGCAGTTTACTCTGCCTGTAATTCTCTTCCCCCCACCTTTTTTTTAAATGGCAGAAGCCTGCTGTCCTCCGCTCATTCTTCCAGACCTCTTAATTCAAGAGTCAACTCCTCTGTCAAAAGTCCCCTACTCCTCCCTCATACACTCCTTACACCCCCATAGTTCCTTTCTTCTCTGCACTCAGCCCTTTGAGATAATGTTGCTACTAAAAGACGTTGGATTGTTATACTTCTTTTTATTGGAGAGAGCTTTTAAAATTCAAGAAATTCCTGAATGTTTTCTTGTTAGAAAAGCTTCAGACAACATAGATGTAGAAAAAGTGAAAGGGGAGAACCCCCATCACCCTTGCCCTTCCCCGTGTGTGTCACCTTTAGTCAGCACACACATAGCAAAGAGGGGAGTTCAGAATTGACCCCAGTTCCATCAGACCCTGGGAGACAGAAACGTGTTATTAGCAGGGTCCATGGAGTCTGGGTTCTCTGACTTTACTGGGTTCAGATCCCACAGAGAGGCATGAGTTGAGCTGGAGGCCTCTATAGGAATCCCCCAGTGTGGGCTGTCTGGAGGTTCTCAGAGCAGAGCCTGCCCCAGGTGTGTTTTGGGGACACCCCTGCCTGAGTGTGCCAGTAAGCAGCCATCCCTCAGCAGGTGCAGGACCCTCCAGCCTCTGTCGAGGGGAACCACTGTCCACTAAGCCTCAGGGTGGGCTCCACTCTCAGGGTCCCCTACTCCAAGGCCCACTTTAGGGGCTGAACGCCCCCTCCTCATTCCACCAAACCAGTGCTTCCGTCCCAAGTCCAGCACATGCGTATTTCCAAGCCCTGTGGGACGCTGGGCCAGGGAAGAGGCCACGATGACCCTGGAGGGGGCTCTGCCTCTCGGCCTCAGCAGTCCTATCACCCTGCCGAGACTCGATCCTTTCTGGCCAGGTCGCCTCTTTCCTGGTCGCCCAGGTGCGAAAACTGAACGACAGCAGCAGCAGGCGCCCTCAGCTCTGCGACGCGGGCCTCAAGACTTGGCTGCGGAGGATGCACGCAGATAGGGACAAGGCGGGGGACAGCCTCGAGGCGGTGAGTGCCTCCGACCCCAGACAGGTGGAGAAGGGCCCTAGGCGACAGGGGGGCACCTGGAGCGTGGTGCTTACCTTCCTCCGGGTCTCGGCTACCGGGCTACCAGCAACGGCCCAGTGAGGCCACCAGGGGGCGCTGCGGCGCCGTCACGGGGAGCGAGGAGGCGTGGCTGCGAAACGAGGGCTTAGAAGCGAGTTGGGGAGGGGAAGTGGAGTGACTTGGAGACTTCCCCTAGAGGCCATCTCCTCCGCCCCATTTTTAGGCAGCCCTTGGCCGAGGGTTGGGAAAATGGGGGTCGCTCTGCGGGGTGTGAGGTGATTGGGGCTGGGAGGGGGATAGTAGAAGGGAAGAGCCTTCCAAAAATGCTGAGTATTCCTGGGAGGGTTCCTGAACACGGTTCCTTATTAAAGTCCCAATCAGAGAAATTGATGAGCGTCGAGGCTGCATCGTGCACGATGTGTGGGTGATGGGTCTTTATACAAACCTACATGTCTGTGTTTGTGGGTACGTTGCATGTACCCCTGCTATGTGTACGAGTGCGAAACACAGGCATAGAAACACAAACACAGGCGTAGAAACACAGGCGTGTTTCTCTGTGTCTGTGTGTGCACACATCCAGAATGTGTATGTCTGTGATCTGTGCCCAAGTGGCCGGCATGCGTGTGCGTGTGCGTGTGTGTGTATGTGGCGTCTTGTGATTTTCAGCGTGGGCATTTGTGTAAGTGCCATGTATGCATGTTTATGCATCCATGTTTGAACTCCAGGCATGCAGGCTCCTGTGTATATGGATCTTCCTCTCTTTCTCTGCAGACTCCCAAGGTGGCAAAGATCCAGGTGGTCTGGCCTATCAAGGATCCCTTGAAGGTGCCTCTCACCCCCAGCACCAAAGTGGCCCACGTCCTGAGGCAGTTCACAGAGCACCTCAGCACTGGTTCCAAGGGTCAAGAAGGCAGTGAGGACATGAACAGCCTCCTTCTACAGTAAGGGGCACCTCCTGGAGGCAGGAGCCTCTCCCCTGCAGGGAGGGCTCTGCACCCCGGAGCTGAAGGCCACCAGGGAGTTACACATGCTGTTGGCCTGGCCTGGCCTTCCCTTTCTGGGGTGGTCAGATGGGTTCTCCAACCTTAGAGAGCTTCTTGGCTCCAAGTAATAATCATTATGACTACCACTCACTCATTCATTTTAATAGTATTTAATGAATGCCCACCACCAGGCACCATGTTTTTCTGTTTGTTTGTTTTGTTTTGAGACGGAGTCTCACTCTGTCACCTAAGCTGGAGGGCAGTGGCGCGATCTTGGCTCACTGCAACTTCCTCCTCCCAGGTTGAAGCGATTTTCCTGCCTCGGCCTCCCAAGTAGCTGGGATTACAGGCGTCTGCCACCATGCCTGGCTAATTTTTTTGTATTTTTAGTAGAGATAGGGTTTTACCGTGTTAGCCAGGCTGGTGTCAAACTCCTGACCTCAAGTGATCTGCCCAGCTCAGCCTCCCAAAGTGCTGGGATTACAGGCGTGAGCCACCGCACCTGGCCCACCATGTATTAAGAGAATTATAGACCAGGCATGAAAAGAACAGACAGAGGCCCTGCTCTTAAGAGCCCACAGCCCTGAGGAAGAGCTGGGCATAAAGCAAATAGTCACGAACCAAAGATCAAGTTACAAACTGTGTTAGGTTTCATAAGAAATGCAGGGAATAATGTGTCTGGAAGACAAGGAAGCTGGTGTCGTCTGGGAGCGAGGTGAGGTTTCCTGGCACAGAAAACTGCACAGCAAAGGTTCTGCAGCAAGGAGCAGAGCATGGCCAAGGATCTGGAAGAAGGTCGGGGGCTGATGTGCAGCCATCATTCCCAGGGTACATGAAACAGCCTGAGCCCTCAAGAGTTTCCTTCTTGGCATTGGCACAAGGAATCCTCAGACTGTCATCTTCAGCAACTGTCTGGTTCAGCTCCTTCTTGAACAGATGGGAGCACTAAGACTCAGAAAAGAGAAGGGGCTTGCTTGAGGCCACATGGCAGATAAGAGGCCGTGGAATTGAACTCAGGATACCCATAATTATCATATAATAATTGTGATTCTTACATGATAAGCATAATTATCATATGTAATCATACAATGTCCATAATCCATCTTGACACAAAATCTTCCCCTCACCGCAGGCTCCTGTCCCCATCTGTCACCACTCATTCCCCTGCCTTTGCAGTCTCCATTTTGATGCCTGGAAGGAAGGAGCATCGCAGTGGGGTGCACCTCTGGCTGAGCCTCACCACGTGCCCTCCAGCTACCTCTCCCCAGCCCCTGGTTGCGGGACTCTGTCACTGGCTCCAGCTCTCTCAGGAGGGTCCTTATACGTCTTCTCCCCAGTGGGACCGAAAATCAGTGAGGACTGCCCTTTCCAGACCTGGGGGCCATCACAGTTGTTGGTCTTGCTGTTTCTAGAAGGAAAAGGCAGGAGTTTTTTTTTTATTTTTCTGTTTTACAGTCACAGGCCCATGGAGTCAGCCAACATCCTCCTCTATGAAGTTGGAGGGAATATCAGTAAGTTCCACTGTGGGAAACGGGAACAGAGCCCAGGTCCCTGGGAGTTCTTCGACCTCAGAGTTTCACTGAGCCCTTCTGGGGGAGGCCAGAGTCTGCCTGGAGATAAGCCTTCCCCTCAGGCCTCTATCTCCAATGAAATCAGGCAGAGTCCTGCTGTAGGGTTAAAGTGCAAGTCTTAGGAGCCTATCCTAGAGTTTGGATTTTGCCTAGAGCTGGCCTCAGGCTGGCAGAGAGAGGCAGAAGGTTTGTTTAGTGTCAAGGTTGGCAGTTCCACCAGTGAAACTGACTCCTCTGGGACACCCTAGCTGGGATGGACCTCATCCCTGGCCCAGGGGCCAAGGAGTCCTTAAGGAATTCTGCAAATAAATGTCCGGCTCTGGGAGGTCCCTGGCCCTGTGGGAACCAAGGATGGGCAGCTGTTTCCCTTTGCATTCTCTAGAACAATGATCCTCAGACTTTACCGGAACCTCAGGATCCCCTGGAGGGCTAAGACACAGATGGTGGGGCCTGAGAATGTGTGTTTCTGATGAGTTCCCAGAAGTTGCGGATGCTGCTGGTCGAGGGGCCACACTTTGAGGGCCACTGGCCAAGAAGCAGAGGCTAAGACATGGCATCAGTAGTACATGATGCACTGAGCGGGTGCCCCTCAAGAAAAGGGTTCCAAGGGAAGGAGTGAAGGAGGATAGGGAAAGGGCAGGGACCAGGAGTGTCTGCATCCTGGAGCTTGGCCTGATCCACTAGGGGGCTCTAGAGCACAAATCACATCAGAGTGGTTGCATTTTGAGGCAAGGAGACTAGTCTTTGGTAGTCTGTGTCCTTCGGTCTTCGACTGTGGGCTTTCCCGGCGGGGGGGATGTCACTTTTCTGGCAAGGCATCTTCCCTCAGCGGAGCTCAGTCCTCCAGCAGAAGAGGTAACTGTGAGCTGTAGCAGTTAAAATGCATACAGCCAGGGGACAGTGCTCTGCCTGGTGAAGGGCTCTGCGCAGGGGAACAGCGTCTCCCATAGCCTCCCACTCAACCTCCTTCACCCCTTCTTCCCACAGATGAGCATCGCCTGGACCCAGATGCCTACCTCTTAGATCTGTACCGTGCCAACCCACATGGCGAGTGGGTCCTTAAACAGAGCCCCACCTAAACCCTGCGACTCTCAGGAGCAGCCTGGATGCCTCCTCCTCTCCCCTGCTGGCTCTGTGTCCATGTACCCAGCATGAGAACAAAGCTATTTCAAGGGAAGGTCTGAGTTTTCTTCCAAGGCATCGTTCTCTGAAATGCCTTTCAGACCCCTCAGAAATAGACTCAGGACTAGTGCTCTCTCCACTCAGAGGGGATGAGGGGCCAGGGCCTCAGGGAGGGGAAGCCAACACAACCCTGGGAGAACTGGACAGAGGAAGAACTTCCCTTCACCGTTCTCATGTTTTAACCACGCACACAAAGCCCTCGCTCCCCTCCACCCCCTAGCTCTCCGGAGAGTTGCTTCCTACATCAAGCTTGCTGTTATGACACCATCACTTGGGGCACTTGGATCTCCATGGGCTTCTGTCCATGGCTTCTAGACTGGAGGAAATTTAAAAATGCAGCACCTCTATCAAGAGATAGTTGGATTTTTTTCCCCCCAGGTAAGATTGTTTTGAAAGTGGCCCTACAATGTGTAGTGGCAGCAGCACCAGAAACAAGACCAGGAGAGCTCTATGACCTTGGACAAGCCCCTTGCCCTCTCAGAGTCCTTCAAGGATGAGGAGCTGGGGCCTCAGGGAGAGGAAGCCAACATCGCAGCCATGATCAGCCCCAGGAGAACTGGGCAGAGGAAGACTTTGCTTCACAGCTCTCATGCTTTACATGTTGATTTGTATAACCTTGTCATTTTGTAATACGATATTTAAATTGTTTAAACATTAAAGGCACAAGTTCAATGTCACGCTTACTTTGCCTAAGTGTTTTTCTCTCCAGTCCCGCGCTCGGTGGGTGTTGTCCTTCCAGCGAGTTGACATGGGAGCTTGGTGATGAGAGCATCTTGCTGAGCTGCTCAAAGGGCTCTGGCCCATGTGGTCCAGCCACGCCTTGAACCCACAACCACCGGGGGGACAGGAAGAAAACTCAGAATGTGGAGGCATAGAGTAATGACAGCTGTTGCTGAAGGGTGGGGGCATTGCAGGGACAGCCTCTCTGGGAATCCTCTCATCTCTTACAGTCCCAGGTCTCGCCCTTCCTCCTTTCCTCGGCCCTGGGTCTGTATCCTCAGACCAGGTGAGGCTTCGCTTATTTGTTCATTTAACAATGAGTTTACTGAGCATCTAACATGTGCCAAGAGGTTCACAAATTTAATCGTCACAATAATCCAGTGTCTTCGGTTTGGGTTCCCCCAGAAGCAAAATGTGAGGCAAAGATTCAAGCGCAAATACTGGTCCTAAGAAATGCAAGAGAGTGGGGATATGAGAGAAAGAGGGGGAGGGAGTCTATAAACGGGTGCCCAATCACAAGCAAGCTACCACTGGGGGCGTCTCGAGCTTAATTCCACTGGAGAACTCTGAGAAACACCAATGTGGAAGATGTCTCTTAGAGTTACCCTACTCGAGGGGCAAGGGAGCCAGTGTGTTTATTCAACTCCTGTGAGTCATTGGTTGAAGGCTGCTCCGGAGGAGTGTAGGTATTTGTTTCCTGGTACTTCCGCCTGCCAGAGCACAGGCACAGTGTTCTCCAATACTCAGAGAAAGCCCTCAAGAAGAGATACAGATACTGGCAACTAGACATTGGCCACTGTACACAGATGGCAAGTGCTACAGGGATATGGGTGGGCATCAACAGCACCTGCTTCACCCTGTGAGGCAATGATGGTGAGATACCGCCACTGCTGCTGATGGTGATGGCAATGCTGATGCTGCTGTGGTTGTGGTGGTGATGGTAATGATGATGATGGTGATGCTGCTGATGGTGGTGATGGTGATGCTGCTGATGGTGGTGATGGTGATGCTGCTGATGGTGGTTATGGTGATGCTGCTGATGGTGGTGATGGTGGGGATGATGATGGTGATGCTGCTGATGGTGGTGATGGTGGTGCTGCTGATGGTGATGATGGTGGGGATGATGATGGTGATGCTGCTGATGGCGATGATGGTGGGGATGATGATGGTGATGCTGCTGATGGTGGTGATGGTGGGGATGATGATGGTGATGTTGCTGATGGTGGTGATGGTGGTGCTGCTGATGGTGATGATGATGGGGATGATGATGGTGATACTGCTGATGGTGGTGATGGTAGGGATAATGATGGTGATGCTGCTGATGGTGGGGATGATGATGGTGATGCTGCTCATGGTGGGGATAATGATGGTGATGCTGCTCATGGTGGGGATGATAATGGTGATGCTGCTCATGGTGGTGATGGTGGGGATGATGATGGTGATGCTGCTGATGGTGGTGATGGTGGGGATAATGATGGTGATGCTGCTGATTGTGGTGATGGTGATGCTGCTGATGGTGATGATGGTGGTGATTACAATGGTGATGCTGCTGCTGCTGGTGGTGGTGATGCTACTGATGGTTTTGATGGTTATGACGATGGTGATGCACTGATGGTGATGATGATGATGATGCTGATGGTAAAGATGATGATGGTGAGGGTAATAATGTAATGATGGTGATGGCAATGATGGTGATGATAATGATGATGCTGATGGTGATGATAATGATGGTGATGCCGCTGCTGTTACTGCTTCTGATGGTGATGATGCCAAGAGCTTGACAAGTTTAATCTTCACAATAATCCAGTGTCTTAGTTTGGCAACGATGATGATGATGGCAGCTGTCACTAAGCAGTTACTGTGCACCCGACATTTTACAGATATTAATTCCTTTGATTCTTACAACAACCCTATGTGACACATTATTATTCCCTTTTTATAGGAGAGGAAAAACCAAGGCTTGGAAAGTTAACACTACTTGTTTGCATGACTGGTAAGTGACAGGTTAGTCTGGTGTCAAGATGCAAGTTCTACTATTTTAGACCGTAAATCTGAACTGTTTTGCCTTAAATACCCATATTTAAAAGTGTTTTGGTAATAGTCACTTCCTCAATGTCCCTTCCTCCCTCCCCCATCCCACAATACAAATAATCTCAGAATCAGAGAGAAGGTATTTCTTTTAAACCAAGGAGACCTAGTAAGGAGGGATTGACATCTGTCCTGGAATTCCTCAATAGGGTATTTGAAGCTTGTAGCTGGTTAACAGCCTCTGAGTGGCCAGCCTCAGTTTCCCCAGCGGCCCCATCTGAAGAACCAAGATGTAATGAAGCATGGATTTAGCCCAGCACTAGCCTCATGATCCTATGAGGTGAGTGTTATACCATAGTTCCACTTTACGGATGAAGAAACTGAGTTTCAGACAAGTTAAACCATGGATTCAGAGTCACACACAGGGTGAGAAACTTGGATGCCTGATTCCAAATCCAGGCTTTTTCAGTCATACAATGATTTCCTGAAACAAGATCAAGTGCCTGGTAGGTGACAGCAAGAAGAGTCAAGAACAGCAGTAGGAAAATTGGACAAATTATTCAAGTTGGGGGAGGTACCAAGGGATTCAGCCAGAGTTGCTGCTTCTGTTCACCAATGTCCTCTCTACCTCCCATGGTCTACCTACAAGCCTTTTGGATCTCCCTCCAAAATATACTCCAATCCACCCACTTCACTCCTTTGTTCCTGCTACCATCCTAATCCAAACCACTATCATCTCAATGCCTTGGATAATAGTGATCATGATGGTGGTGGTGGTGGTGGCGGCAGTGGTGATGATGGTAATTATGATTTTTATGTTGGTGGTGATGATGGTGGTGGTGGTGATGGAAATGATGATGATGTTAGTGGTGGTGTTGATGATGGTAATGATGATGATTGTGATGGTGCTGGTGGTGGTTGTGGTAGTAGTGGTGGTGGTGATGATAATGATGGTGGTGGTGGTGGTGATGATGGTGGTGGTGATGGTGACTGATGAGAATGTTGATAATCTGAAATAGTTAAGAGTTTACGTCTTGACACCAGATAGTGCAAGGCCTTGATGACCTCCATGCCTTTTAACTACTCTCCCTTCTTGCTTTCCTCTCTATTCTCCATATATAGCAGCCACTGTGGGCCTTTAAAAGTATAAATTCAATCTTACTGAAAGCCCTCCTGCTGAAAACCTTCCAGAGGGATCCCATTAAACAAATATCCCAACTCTTTACCCTGGCCTATGAAGCTCTATGTCTCTGATGCCACTTCACTTACACTCCCCCCACCCCCCGCCTTACTTTGCAGAGCCAGCCACATGAGCCTCCTTCCAACTCCTCAGACATCCCAAGTTAATTTCTGCTTTGAGCTTTTGCACCTGCTGTTCTCTCTGTCCACGACACTCTTCCCCCAGCTACTTCCATGGCCAGCTCCTTTCACCTTCGGATCTCAGCTCAGATGTCCTTTCCTTTGAGAGGCCGTCTCTGACCACCCTATCTGAGGTTGCTTCTTCTGTCACTTTCTCTGGCATCATCTTATTTTCTTCCTAGCATTTATTAGTATCCTAAATTATCTTATTGAGTCAGTTTTGTATTGTCTGTCTCCCTGAGTAGGATGTAGCCCCATGAAGGCAGAGACCATGTGGGCTTTTCTCACTTCTATGGATATAATGGATATGATGTGGATATAATGGTACTAGTAGGTGCTCAATAAAAATTGGCTGGATAAATGAATGAATGAATAAATGGATGAATCCCTCTCTGTCCCTTTGTTTGCTCCAGAAGCTGTTGCCCTCACCAACTTATTTAACTCTCACTTCCCTGGATTCATGTATGAAAATGAGAAAATGTATCTGAAGTATTTACAGCAAGTGCTCAACCAGCACTCTCATTATTATTATTAATTGTTAACAAAGGCAAGACAGCCTGAAATAGTGACTAATGGTATTATCCTCCTGTGCTTCCCAGCACCTGTGCTGGTCCCCTTGCACACCTCATTCACTCATTCCCAGTGTCGGGATGACAGGACGTTGTGTGGTTGGAGGGAAAATAATTTACCCTTGGCAGGAGGTGAGGCAGGTGCCTCTGTGAGTGCCGAGAGCCCAGGCCCGGCTGTGCTAACTTTGCACTCAGAGTGGGCTGTCAGCCACCAGCAGAAGATCCCAGTTTAATCACATGTCAGTTTCTCCATTCATCTTCGGTGCTATCTGAGGGCTCATCTTTTTCTACTCCGTGGCATCGTCGTGATTGATGATCCTGCACCAGCTCCACCACTGGGTTAGCTCAGCTCACAGTGGGTGCCCAGCTCCTCTGGGCTCTTTGCAGTCTGGGCCAGCATGGGCTGGCATCATGTTTCTCTTAAGGAGCTCTGTTGTGAATGGAATCGTGTCCTACCAAAATTCATATATTGAATCCCTGATTCTCAAGGTGACTGTGTTTGGCAATAAGGCCTTTAAAGAAGTAATGAAGGTCAAATGAGGTCCTAAGGGTAGCACCCTCATCCAGTAGGACTGGTGTCTTTACAAGAAGAGGAAGAGACACCAGAGCTGTCTCTCTTCCCATGAGAGCAGAGGACAGGTGGCACAAGGACACAGTGAGGTGGCAACTGTCTGTGAGCCAGGAGAAGCCTCACCAAAACCCACATTTTCTGGCACCTTGATCTTGGGTTTCCTACCTCCAGAACTGTGAGAAAATAGATTTCTGTTGTTTAAGACAACCTGTGGTGTTTGTTATAGGAGCCTTAGCAAACTAATACAAGCTGCTTGCTGCCTCCATCTTCTGAGAGGAAGAAGGATGGAATTTGTAAAGATGTCTTCAAACAAGAGAGTTTCCTTGGACAAAGGGCGGAAATGAACCTCAGCAGGGATGGTGTCTCACCTGGCCCTCAGGTGCGTGCTTTCCTGGGAGAGGCTGCATTTAGTGCTACGGGGCT